GGGAAATTGAAAGAATTAGTTTGAATTTGTATTCCAGTTTTGTAAATAAACTAGTAGAGAGAGAGAGAGAAAAAAAACACCTAATAGGCTCTATAAACTCACTCAAGCCCCCAACAAGCACTTGAAAGTGACATGAAATACGTGACACAAAGGTGCTAAGACTACCCCTTGTCAAAGGTGGAAAGGTCATGGGACCCAAGGAAGGAAGATAGCTTGTGCAGGTTTCACTGTAACTGGAAAACCCACCTTGAAGAAGAAATGGTTATGCATCCCTCCCAGCAGAAGCAGTGTGGCAGGCACCAGTAGTGCAAATTACTGCTGGCCTCTGTGCTGGCATTCTGTCCTAAGCACAATGCTTGCAAAACACTGAAGAGCACACCAGCTTTATCATCATTATCCTGGTGTCAAACCAGTCTGAACAAGAAACAGGTATTGTGTCCCCAAAATAACATTCCGTTTTGCTTCTCTTTGTCTGCGGGTGGCACCATGGCAGCCCTTCTCCCCTCCGAGCGGCCGGGCTCTGCCAGCTCTTCTGATGTCCAGCAGCCCTCTGTTCTCACAGCTGGTGCCTGCCAACTGCAGGGCAGCGCAGCTAAAGGGCAGGGCTCAGGCTGTGCTGGGAGCGAGTCACAGAGAGCTGAGGGCTTGTCCAGATCCTAGGACAGGTCGCAGTGGAATGGTTGGGGTGCTTCGCCACCTATTTCCATTCTCAACCCTCGGCCCCTGTCTTGTCCCTGTTGATGGGGCTCATGCCCCCATCACTATCATATGGCAGCTCATTAAGAGAACAACAGCAACAGTACCATTTCTAGGTTCCAGTCAACTGCTCTAATACATGCATAGTGTTGGTGGAAGCTTCCAGCCCACTGGAAGGGTGGACGAGGGTACTAAAAGCTTTTTTTTTTTTTTTCCCCTATAATTATATTTTATTAATTTTCATAAACATTTACAGAGATTTTGGGCTTCCACTCATTCATTGTTGCACTATTCTCTTTACCCTCCTCCCAGTTTGTTCTTGTCCAAATGCCACAGTGCTTGTCAAAGCCAGTTCTGATTAATCTTCTTTGTCAGTGTGTTCTTTGCCATTCCCTATCACTCCTCCCTGAGAGAGACTTCACCCTGAGTCATAAGGAAAAGGGGACGGCGTATTCTCTTAGCTACTTCCTGCTGAAAAGGGACGCTGTGGGTTTCAGGGTGAAGATCTTCTCTCACTACTCTAAAGGGCCCCTTTGGCAGTAGGAAACACATAGACTATTATGGAGATTGATTTTGGAATTCAGATGCACTCTTATTGATTGTGCTTGGCTGTACATGTACATATCCTTGAAGATGTATCATGGGGGTGTTGCAACCTAGAAGACACAAATTTGACTAACAAGTTATAAGTACATGAGTCCAAAAATTATGGAAAAGTAAAAGAAAAGATTCTTTCATTGTTTTACAAACCCTGGTACTAAAAGCTTTTGAGAAGCCACCCAAGGGGCAGAGACTGGTCTCAGCAGAGTCAGGAGAGGAGGTGGAAACAGAATGTGGAGCAAATGACCTCCTTGAGCCAGCTACCTCCTTTGCCTTTAGACTAGAACTGAAAGGTGGTGGTTGTTGTCATCATTACGTGCCATCGAGTTGGTTATGTGCCATCAAGTTGCTTGCTACTCACAGCAATCCTATGTACAAAAGCTCTGAGCTCTGCTCTATCCTGAACCAGCTGAATGTCTCTGTTGACAGGACTCATGCCCCATCACCATCAAATGGAAGCTCATTAAGAGAACAACAACAGTGAAATGGCATCCACTTCCTAAACAGCTTGCCTCTAGAAACGGCAGCTCAAAGGGGAGGAGGGCTGCTATGCTGCTACCTGCAGACCAAAGTTTATCCAGAAACTCAATGAACTTAGAGAAATGATGATTGTTATACAACTGAGTTCAGGGCTTCATTCATAGGGTTGCTATGATAGGTCGTCTACAACTCAACAGCACTTAACAGCAACAAGTCACCAACGGCAAAGTCATTCTCTTTCCTTTTACTCCCTAACTTGGCTTTTCCCCTACCCTGTTCCAAATTAAGCATTTGTGGTCAGTGAAAACAGAACTTCAAACAATTTTCACATGTGGTAATTTCTTTTTCTTACAACTGTTTAAGTCATGCTAAGGTCCTAGCCAGTTTACCACTGGTTATGGCTGCCGATCCTTGGTAGAGAAAAATCATGTCCGTTAGATGTTTTAAGAGTTTAGTCAAAGAGAAGGAAATAAACCAGGGGTTTGCAGCCTGTCTTCTTTTATTTTTCTCCCCCTTATTTTTTTTTTAAATTTTTCTACCGAGATGGATCGATTCTGTGAGTGGAGTGGTGGGAATGAGTGTTTGAGACAGCGAGGTTGGCACAGGATAGAACGGCGTTTAGGGCCTTTGTACAAAGGATCGCTGTGAGTTACAAGTGACTCGATGGCACATAACAATAATAACTGTTGTTGTTGTTATGTGTCGTCGAGTCATTTGCGACTCATAGCGACCCTATGCACAACAGCCCTAAACCCTGCTCTATCCTGTGCCAAGCGCACTGCCTCTGACACACCCATCCCGATTACCCCAGTCACCGAGTCAATCCATCTCATAGAGGGTCTTCCCCTCCTGTGCCGTCCCTCCACCCTCCCAAGCATGACGTCCCTCTCCAAGGACCCGTCCCTCCTGGCAACATGTCCAAAGTATGTCAGACGAAGCCCCAGAATCCTTGCCTCCAAGGAGTAGCTTGGTTTAATCCTCTCCAAGATGAATCTGTTTGTTTTCCTGGCAGTCCATGGTACATTCAGTACTCTTCTCCAGCACCACAGCTCAAAAGCATCCACTCTCCTTCTGTCCTCCCTAGTCATTGTCCAACTCTCTGATGCATAACAAGCAATTGCAAAGACCATGGCCTGTATCAGGCGCACAAATTTGAACAAATTCTTTCAGTTTCCCTCACCTCCCCCCAACCCATTAAATTGTACAACCCAATGATTAACCCCCCTTTCCCCCTGCACATCCACAACCCTTTGATTCCAGCCTCTCCCACCTTCCTGGATCCTTATACGTATTCTACAATAATGGTTTTATACAATATTTATCCTTATGGGACTGATTTAGTTCACTCAGCATAATACTCTCCAATCCCTCCCAAGTTAGGTAATAATTTAAAAAGTTATTGTTCCTGCATACTGCATAGTATTCCATTGTGTGAATGTGAGAACTGAGGCACAAACTGAAATTTGTACACCCATGTTCATAACAGCATTATTTACCATTGCAAGAACATGGAAACAGTCCAAATGTCCAACCACAAATGAATGGATTGAGAAATTATGGTACATTCATGCAGCCTGCCTTCTTAATCTTGACAGAGTGCAGTGACTTCTCAAACTCCCATTGGATTACTTATTGGGCAGACTTCCAACGTACTTGGGGAATTCTGTCAAGGGAAGTCTGCGAAGTAGTGACTCTTTCCTCTTCCTTAAAATCCTGTTCTTTACTGAGAAGCAGGAAAAGACCTACTCTTGGCAACTAACACTAATCTTGCAGTAAGGGTTTTACTGTGGCATCTGGTTGAGCCTGCAGTCTCCAAGGTGTGGGTGTTCCCGAGGGAAGGTTGGCCAATGGTCCATCCCATTGCATTTCTGAGTCTCAGGTAGGGAGGTCTGGGCCTTCTCTCTTTTCAAGGACATAATTTAGTTCACAAAAAAAAGATATTTATTCTTCCTTCAGCCTATGTTGTTGTATGTGCCATCGAGTTGCTTGTGACTCATAGTGACCCTATGTACAACAGCCCTAAACCCTGCTCTAACCTTTGCCAATCTCACTGTCTCTAACACGCCTATCCCCCTTACCCCAGTGATGGAATCAATCCATCTCATTGAGGGTCTTCCTCTCCTGCGCTGTCCCTCCACTCTCTCAAGTATGACATCCCTCTCCAAGAACTGATCCCTCCTTGCAACATGTCCAAATTATGTCAGATGAAGCTTCAGAATCCTTGCCTCCAAGGAGCAGCCTGGCTTTGCCCTCTGCAGGACGAACTTGTTTATTCTCCTAGCACTTCATGGTATATTCAATATTCTTCTCCAGCACCACAGCTCAAAGGCATCAACTCTCCTTCTATTCTCCCTAGTCACTGTCCAGCTCTCTGAAGCATAGCAAGTAATAGCAAAGACCGTGGTCTGTATCAGGTACACCTTCGTCTCCAGACTGTCATCGTTGCCTGTAATGTTTTTTAAAACCCCGTCCTTGCTAGACCTTCTGGGTACCCTCGCTCACCCTCAGGGCCAAGGGACAGTTTCCACCTCTCAGCGCTCCTCCCCTCTGCTGGCCTGTCCGTCACACAGGAGGAGCCGCCCATCTCATCTCAGTCCTGGTGGGTTCACACTCCCAGATGCACTCAGCCTCCTGTTAGCAGTGTTCTTTATCACAGACTCAGCCTCCAGAGCTCCCTTTGTGGGCACCTGTATGTTGTTGTTGGGTCAGAACTGACGCATAGCTGACCCATCAGGAGGTTTTCAGAGGCAGCAAAGTGCACGGGAGGAGACTGCCCGTCATTCTCCCCTGGAGCAGCTGGTGGATTTGAACTGCTTTCCTCTGGGAAAGTGCAACTCCTTACCACTAAGTCACTAGAGCTCTCGTACCCTAGGGACCAGGAGAGTGAAATTCCCTGGTAAATCATCAGTCCCTTTTCATCTACTGGCCAACATGTACAAAGAGAAGATGAAGGTGATAAATATATATATAAATATTTTTAGCTATGAGGCATTCTGTCAACGTTCCTGGCTCGATTCAAGCCAGTGTCGCCTGAGATGGTGGTTCCTTCAACAATGGGCCCACTGTGCCACTTCTGACAGAGGATCCACCTCCTCAGGGCCTTCAGCCAGCACTCGACAATGGCTGACGGGTGCCACCGGTGCCTGTGCTGTTGTGTCCTGGAGCTCAGGGACAACTGAGAGAACCAGCAGGAAGTCAGCACTTACGGTCATCTTTCTGCTCACCTGTCTGCCCAGCGATGGAGGCGCTCAGTCTGTGTGGGATCCTTGAGGACACCTTCAAGGTCACGCGGATCTGGTAATACCTGAGAAGAGAGCAGAGAGAAGACCACTGAAGGTGAACTGCTTAATGCTGGCATCTTTTCCAAATGCCCAGGTTCAAGCCTGTAGGCCACGGAAGCATGTACGATCATCGGGTATCAAAGAGATTCATTCTGGAAGAGAAGGAGGGAACGGGCAGGGTTAGAGGCAGGATGCTGGGCTCTCGTGTGAGCCGGAGCGAGGTACACGGCAGAGGCAGCAGAAGACATGGGCGCGTCAGCAGGGACACAGAGGAATGCATGGTTTATTTAGCCAGAAAAGTCTGCTGTTGTTGGCATAGAAACAAACAGTAAGATGCTTAAAAAAGCGCAAACCTGTTGCTGCGGAGTGGACTGCAGCTCACCACGGGCAGCAGGATGTTGACCCCAACTCACGGGCCTCAGAGCAGAGCGGAGCTCAGGGGCTTCCCTGGCTGCCAGCTTACTGGGGCGGATGCCAGGCTTTCTTCCGTGGAGCCCCAAGTGGGGTTCAAACTGCCATTCTTCCGGTAGCCGACAAGGGCAAGCAACTCTACCCCCCAGGGTGGTAGTTAGGGAGCCCTCCGGCATAGCCCTTAAGGAGTCGAGCTGCTAATCCAAATGTGGCATTTCTCCAGCAGTTCAAATCCATCTGCGGCACCACTGGATGCAGACGGGCAATCTCCTCCTGTTCTAGTTACCTTGAAAGCCCACTGCAGGGTCAGCTAGGACTTGGTTCTTGGTTGATGGGAAGGGATTTTTTTTAAAAAAATTTATTTTATTTCATTATTTTTTGTGTGTACCATCAAATCAGATCTGACTGGTACAGGAGGAGATTGTTCCTCCTTCTCCAGCAGAGCATCTGGTGGATTCGAACTGTGCATCTCTGAGATTGCAGTTGCAGCTTCTTGCTGCTAGGCCACCAGAGCTCACCACTGGGAAGGGATTTTTTTAAAAGGTCCTAGTTTGAGGAATGTGTGCATTTTAAATGCAAATGTGTGGTGGAGAACCAGCACATAAATTATGTCAGCACCGTGCTGCCACACAACCAGCTTCAGAAGCACAGCAGTCGAGTTACCACAGGAACACCTGCCTTCTTTTTTTGTCTTTTTAAAAATTGATTAATTTAATGAAAGTTTACAGAGACTGGATTTCCATTAATTTATTGTTGCAATTTTTTCCCCATCTAACCTCCTCACTCCAGTTCACTCTTTCCTTTGAAAAGTAAAGTTTTTTCATTGTTATATAATCCCTCCCCTCAAGTCCACTCCACTACGTAGCCCTCATTCTGGACTCCCTTCATGGCATGTTCTGTTCAGAGTTTCAAGCTCTATTTATAGACTGTACATGAGTATCATTGAGTTTTCTGACTTTCTCATTCTTCTCCATGTTATCCATAATTTGTTATGATTCATACAGCCAATACTCTTCACCAAAGTGACAGTTCAAAGGCATTGATGCTACTAGGGTCATCCTTAGTCACTATCCAACATGCACATGCTCATGAAGCAGTGAAAAATGCCAGAGTTTGGGCCAGGTGTACCTTAGCCTTCAAACTAACATCCTTAGGTCAAATCAAAACCTCGCTGCCATGAGGGTGGCCCCCTGACTCATGACAGCTCTGCACTGGGTTCTCCCGGAGCGTAAGTCTTCATGGATGGCTGAACACTGACCATCCTTCTCCCTTGGAACAGTGGGCTAAGCTTTTTTGTTATTGTTGTGAGCACCTGATTGGTCATATCATGCCACCAGGGGTGCCTAGATTTATTAAGCATCATTGTGCCTGAAGCTCTACCAACAACTTCCACCTAAGTCATCTTGTTTGGCTCACCATGAATTCTTTGTTAAAGAAAGTGTCAAGTGGCAATCAGGGAAGGTAGTGGGTCATAGAAGGGATGCAACTACTTAGAAGAGACGAAATGACAAGATCACACACAGGGAGAGGGGGCTGGGATTAAAACCTCAGAGAAAACGCCTCGAGCCATGCATTTGACATGCATGTCATGCATCTGACAAGCCCTCAGAGGAGTGCAGCGCTGTTGTCACCTGGTACTATCGTGGTAACTGCCACTGAGTTCTGGTTCGGAACCACTTTACATGTAACAGGGCACCATACTGCGTGGGCTGTGTCATCTTCAGGACCCTGGTCTGTGCCCACGGCCATGGTTCTGTGCAGTGCCTTCCAATCTAGGCGGCCAGCCAGTAGACTAGGCAATAATATCCTATTGTGACCCGTGAGGTTTCCATAGGTAAATTTGTAAAATATATTGCCAGGCACTTCTTCCTAGCTCTTTTTAGTCTGGGAGCTCCATGAAACCTGCCCCCACAAGTGACTGTGATACTAGAAGTACCGGTGACATAATTTCCCGCATCTCAACTACATGCAAGGGACCACAGTGTTATAAACTAGCAGCATGTTGGTGATGCTATAAATGAGGTATCTTTTATAGCCAATTCTAAACTTGTCTGATTTCTTGTTTCCTAAAAATCACTCGATGCTTTTGAATCTTCCTTCAAGGAAGCAGATGCTCCCCAGCAATTTTTAAAAGAATTCATTTCAATTTGATGGGCTCATCTGAACCTTGTCTTGATTAAACAGAACTTTTATTTTATCCCTGACAGATAGCAGATCCACTAACCACAGATTCTTTCAACATACATGTGACTTTTTCTAATCACTACAGCAAATTTAGTGCCACTGCCTCTTTGAAATCCTGCTTGAACTTCTGGCAGTTCCCTACCTACTGTTCTAGCCATCTTTGAATGATCTTCAGTAGTACTTTGCTTGTATGCTATATTAATGATATTGTTGGGTAGTTTCCATATTCTGTTGCATCACCTTCTTGGGAATGGGAATCTCTTCTAATCGACTGGCCAGACAGACAGCTACCCTCCAAATTTTCTGGAATAGACTGGTGAGCACTTTCAAGGTTGTATCTGTTAGTTGAAACAACTCAGTTGGTATCCCATTAATTCTTGGGGCCTTACTTTTTGCCAGTGCCTTCAATGCAGCTTCCAAAGGCATGTGGTCAGAATTCACCAGCTGCTCCTGGGAGAAATATGGGCAATCTCTTCCCATGCCATTTACTACCTCTGAAAACCCACCGGAGGGTCAGCTATGAGTCAGTTTCAACTCGATGGTACACAACAACAACAACAAGTTTACGCAGGAGAAGATTTTTCACCTTTCCTCTTGGCAGCCGATGGTAGACTCAAACCATTGACTTTTTAATTAACTGTAGTATGTAGCAAATTGCACCACCAGGACCTGTTAATATGCTTGGCCTGAGATGTAAGGAATTGTTAATCACCTAAGAACAACAATAATTTGTAATAAAGTCACAGATGGGATCGACGTTGCTAGTCCCACTGACCTTGAGATGTGGAGAATATTCTGGATAATCTGTGTGGAACCAACATGATATCAGAAGAGAGGCGACGAGGAAGGAGAGTATAAAAGCAGTAGCCTGACAATGCTTCCCCAACCACTGCTGGCTCTGAAGATGGAGGGGGGTATTGGCTAAGAATGCAGGCAGGCAGCCCGTGGGAGCTGGAAGAGACAAGGATTCTTTCCTTCTAGAATATGAACTAAGAAATCCAGCCTTGCAAGCAGCTTAACTGCCCAGTGAGAACCACTAAGACGTCTGCCCTTCAAAACTGCAAAAGGAATCACTTGTTTTAAAGCCAAGACATCGTGCATTGCTCAAATCTGCTGCAAAAGATCTGCAAAGAGCAAAGCTGTCACGTTAGGGATCACATGGGCTTGAGCCAAGCTATGATAGTTTCACTTTTCTCGTTATGTGGATGCAAAAGTGGAACCACCGATAAGGGCGACTGAAGAATTCTTGATGCTTTTGTTTTATGATGCTGGTGAAGAGAATAAATATACTATTCCCTGCAAGAAGAACAAACCAACCTGTCTTGGGCAGGTACAGCCAGAATGGTCCTTAGAAAGGTAGAGGGCAAGCTTCTGTCTTATGGGTTCAATTCATGGACATGCGACTGGGAGAAGCCTGTCCCTAAGCTCTCGATAAAGCCGAAGGTTAGCAAAACGAGGACCACTCTCAACAAGATGGACCGATGCAGTAGCTGCAACTATGGACTCAGACACAGCAGCTGTTGTGAGGGTCGTCCTGGATGGGGCCCTGTTTGGTTGTGTACGAGGCCATTACAAATCAGAAATGATTGAAGGCACCTAACAACAACAACCATTTATAACGTTTATTACAGCAGCCATAGCACACTAATACACATTGATTCTCAGCTTTTCTTTTTACAGCAAAGCCTTAACTTCTTATGCCATAATCCCTTCCTATGATAAAATGAATGGCTGCCTACAAGTTAGCGATATACAGACTATGACTCAGAGAGGTTAAGTCATTCACCCCAAGTCACATAGTGGGAACTTGGGGGATTAAAATTCAAGACCATTTGACTAACATCAAGCTGTTACGTTGGGGAGGTAAAGCCAGATGCTTTTAATGACACAGATTTTCCCCAAGTCCTCGCTCATTCTTCTGTCACTGGGAGTCCAGCTGCCACCCTGCTCTGATAGCTACTATCGTCCCCCACTTCATGCATTTACATCAGTTCGGTGTTGTTTTTTTGCAAAGCACCATGTACTCATTAGAATTCTTACCACTGCAGCCAGGGGAGAAAGTCAATAAAAATGTGTTTTTATTTCTGTATAGAAATATCAGTTATCAGCACAAGCTGGAAGAGACAGGCTGTGTCCTCCTATTCATCACCGTATCTGCATCAGTTACCATGGTGCTGGTCCACTCTGACATCCAGTAAATGCTTAACACATGAATGGGTGGAAGAATAAATGAATGAATGAACTAAAGAGATTCTCATCAATAAAGGGTAGAGTCATTTGATTCAAACCCAATATTTGCACTACTGTAACTCAAAATCCACATGTAATTCTTGTAGACCCAAAGAGACTAATAAGATCCCACAATGCAAATGAAGAGACCAGTGATATTTTGTCAAAACTGCTTTAGATCCAATAACCGGGGTGAAGA